CGATGCCCTCCCACCCTATCACCAGTGGGAGGACTAGATGCTATACAGATAACAGGAGACATTTTTATATATGTATATATTGTTGCAATCACTGAGCTGTTTGAAGTAGTCATATGAGTACAAAATGAGACAACAAGAGAAAACCTTTCGACCATAATCAATCATCAATGGACTGCAATAATCCAAATTGCATGAGTGACAAATTGTGATTTGTTTTTCTTTTTTTTCTCGCAAATGCGTCATCTCTGCTTTGTTATATCTATTCCTCAAGTCACGCTCAGATTATATATTTGTATACACACGTAAATGACGTAATGACGCAGTCATCAATTCATCACTCAACTTAACCTTTTGCTTGAATGCACAAACTTCTGTTTCTGAATCATTCCATATTTAAACTTAGCTTAGTCACTGATCACTGTAAATCCATGACAAATATTCCATTTTTAAAGTGCTGATTCACTGCAGTAATCGCAAACTGACCCATTCATCCCTTCAGTAGAAATAATAATGACCTTTTACTACTCTTTTAGCGCTTTTGCGTGCGTTAATTAGTCTTTACTCTCCTCATCATACTCTTTTTAGCCTGCATAATGAATAAATACGATCAATTAAATTCTATACATGAGAGAATCGTGACAGAATCTGACTAATTTCATCTTCTGCGATCCTTCACCTTGAAGTTTATCTAATGGTCAGTCCTGAAGACGATGAGCAGTTCTCAAGGTAAAAGTTGGTCTTCCGCGGAGGATTACTAGCAAGCGATTGTCAACCCGTGGCCTTTGATGACAACATAATCCTATATTGACCGCGTGATTCTGCATTTCAAAAAAAATTCAGCAGCATGAAAATTAATTTCATTTTGTGGAGAATATAGAACTATCTACTTAAATATTTCTTCTTCTTGAGGAACAGTCGCAGATAAATTGACATATCTATTAAGGCGGAAACCGAAATTGTAGCTGCGTTGCACTTCATGTATTATTTCTTTACTGAAGTTTTGAGGATGACCAAAATTTGATGTGTTTTATGAAAATTTGTTGGCATTTCAGTTTTGCATAAATTGCTTACAATTGTCATCGGGCCTCGATTAATCTGCATCTTCAGTTCTGTTAAGTTTTTACAGAAAACCAATAGCAAAAATGATTTTTCCCGGCTGTGTATTATTATTTCATGATGACCATATGAGCAAAAATATTTACAACTTTGTCTTATAATTTTCTAAGCAAAATAAAAGCATGCAAATACGTCAGAAATTACGTCAAAAATTAATCTGATATTCTGTGTGCTTTTTGATTACATTTGCATATGAATAGTTGATTCTTTGGTGCAGTCATTTCTCTCCAACTGCAAATGTACACATTTTCCTTTTAAAGTTTTTTTTATTTATTATAAAAATGGCAACGAACGTACTGCTAACAATGCTGTGATATCCATAAAGCTTCATTTTTTACTCTCTGTTTCAGAAGAGTTTATTTCTTACAGAATAAATAAACACGTATAACGTGAAAATTCGTGTTTATATCAAAGATTCGTGCATCAAATCTTTTGATTCTAGCTAACTTCTGATCGTCACAGTCATAAGAATTACTTTTCTAATTTTTTCTTGCTTGGAACTTTTTGCAGTCCAAACAGAAATTTTAAGAGTCAGAAATCTTTCTTCAATATTTACATGTTTACTATGTATTTAAATTTTTTCTCCCTTAATATTAATAATAATTCTTACGTAATATTAATAATTTTTAGTTATGGTACTTTTTCATTTTTTGAATAGTGCTTTTTCACAAAATTTTTAAAAATTCTTCCTCTGATTTAACGTGAGAAATTTGCATAGAACTGACAGTTAATCGATAATGAAATTACTTTTGATCTCAGTTTTGACAGTTTTGCAAAATTATCCATCTGAAGAATATTCTCAAAATTTCTACCAAATAACATCTTCAAACAAACAAGCTTTCTGTATTTGCAATGTGAGACGTATTCAACAGTTAACTTATCCAGCATATCTGTCCTTTCATTGAGTTCATAAAGCGTTTTGACAACAATATTTTTCACAAGTATTTGATTAACGTAAAATAAATATTTGTCTATAATTAACAAAACGAAAAAACTTTTTACTCACAAACTTGTCCATTGAAAAAAAGAGAATGAAACGTACGGTTGACTTACATCTAAACACACTGCTATTTATCTATATTCACGTCAGCGCAAAATGTTATACGGAAGTCAGTTTGTAAATTATCATTTTTAGAGTACGATCAAATTCTTCAAAAATATCTAATATTTCTTTTATTACCATTTGTTATTTAAATCATATATTTTTAACACTTTAATATGAGCATGTTTGTTTATTTAATTCATATAACTTTAATGCAAGCATAGATTTGTGCATTTCCAAGTTTACCATATGAAATTGTGAAGTACAGAAACGCAGAAAGATCTCTGTTAAAGAATCAAGACACCAATTTATTTCGTGAGAACTTGTGCCAGAAGAAATAAAAATCTTTCAAATTATTCATCTTCACAATCCTAATTATTAGATATAAACTAGCAAGTCATCAAAATGTTATGATAAATTGCCAAGTTTAATCAAGAAATCAATTATGTAAGAAATAAATTATAAAATATGCATAAAAATATGAACAATAAGACACAATAATATGGCATCGGGATTAATTAATCCTTCATTCATGTTCAACTAATAAGTAATTTGAATTTTATCAAAGTATAAATAGTTTCAGCTGAAAGCATTTGTAATTTATTTATTTCAACTGCTTTCAAAATGATTATTTTAGAGAAAATAACTGTAAAATATGTGTCATCTAGTTAAATGAAAGAAAATTAAAGGTAAAGTATGAGTAGTAATATTTATGACCTGAAATTTTGTTGACTTAACATTTACTCAACAAGTCATTACTTCTTTTTTAAACTTATTCCTGATTTGATAAAGACTTTAAGTTGCTGCTAGTGTTTTCTCCTTTCATATCACTAGACCACTTAACTTTATCACTAATATCACCAGATTTCATATTGTTTGTTGCAAGCATTTCCATTTGTTGGTCATCTCCTAATTGTTCTTTGAAATCATTTGACTGTAACTAATCACAAATTAAAATCACACAAATTTTGAATTAACAGTTTTCCGGATCACACTAATAAATCACAAATGAGGTAAATAATCAAAACTTGAAAAGAACAAAATTTAACAAAGTTATTGACTTTTGTAACAATACGAAAATTAAACATTTTAAAAATATTAAAAAATCTAAAAAGTAATTTTCGAATATTCATGCATCTAAAATTTTATTTCACGGGAACACTCTCAGCTTAAAAGACATAATGTTTGTGGTGTTTTAAACAGTTTCAAAAAAATTATACCAAAACACCTACGTCATATGTGACATTGTAATAATCACGTTGATTATCAAGTTTTAGATATGAATACTGATCTGTGATGTCTTCCAATTGGCTGGCTAACTTTTGTCGAATATCTCCAAAATTAGGTCTCAACGATGGATCTTGAGCCCAACAGCTCCGCATCACTTCATAGCTGTAAATCAAAATATTGCTAAATTCAGTAATGCAGCAAATTATGAGATGAAAGTTGATTCCATACTACGGTATATTAAATAATACCATTAGTTGATTTAGTAATCAACTAATGGTATTATTCAATAATTGAATCGTATTCTTTTAGAATACGATTCAATTTTTTTGAAGAAATTTTGAAAATAGTGAAAATTAGGCTAGTTTACTAGTTATCAGGACAATTATCTGGCTGATCCAGTCGTTCACCAGCATCTAAATATCCAAGCATATCATCTGGCTGTATACCAGGATAAGGTGTACCTCCGAGGGTAACAATTTCAAACATTAATATGCCAAATGACCAACTGAAACATAATTTCCAATTCAGTCAAATATTATATTCTTGAAAATTATATTCAAAACATTAAAAAATAAAAAAATGTGTATTTCGAAAATATTTTCTGATATCGTTTTTCAACGATCATTTTTATGCTCACATCACAAAAGTTATTGTTCTTTGAATTATTTCGAATATATTCTCAGAACAGGTTCGAAGAATGCCAAGATACTTAATTTGAAACAAGCTATTACTAACACATCGGATTGAGTAGTAAATTCGTAGTATCTGATGGCTTCTGGACTCATCCACTTTACAGGTAATCGTCCACCTTTGCTTTTGTAGTTAGCAATATCGCGATAAATATATCGGCATAAGCCGAAATCGCCTATTTTGGCATTTTTGCCCTCATGAACCAATACATTTCGAGCTGCGACATCCCGATGAACAAAACCTTTTTGACTTAAATATTCCTGGAATTTTGCACTTTTTATACTAATTTAGCATTATCAACATTAGATTCACTAGCTAATATCAGTATTTTTTCTTTGTAGTAGATAGATGAATGAAACATTCCCACGAAATTAACTGGTAAATGTACTGTTCAAATCTTCATTAAAAAGGGATCTGTGTTTGAACTTCCATCATATGATGTTTGATGAAGAAGAACATTAAAGAAACGCCACATCAAAAAATTCGTACAGTAGTTCTGATTAACTTTTATAAACTTGAGAAATCTAAAGATTTGAAAGCATTTGAAAATTTCGTAGCAAAAAATTTGAAACAAAATCGAAAATTTAAAAAAGAAAAATCTTCAAAGTAAACTTTTATACCAGGCCATAACTGATCTGTACAGCGAACATTAACAACTGCTTAAGTGTTATCACCAAATCAGTGTTTATTTTATCACTCAAGTTGGGTTCATCATAGTCAATGCCCATTTCCGTGAGCTGTAGAAGATTAAGTTCATTATTGTTTTTGAACGCGAAAATCCAACCGTATTACTCAATTTTCTTTTGTAGAGATATTTTAAAAACAAAAAAAATATATTTAATAATTGTAGAAAATAATTATGCTTTCATCGCGATCTCTTTTCACCTAAAAATGCTTTGGAGAATATTTGTTAAATTTTTCAAAACTGCTTATTTTCAAGAATTAAATATTTTTCCTCCCAAAAAAAACAACAATCATTCTACGATATAATTTTTATGCACCAAATGAGTGTACAAAGGTGAAAAGAAGGAAAATTAAAGAATGATAATTTTATAATTATACTTTTTCATGCTAATACACAGTGCTATGTTTCATTTTTATAGGTTTAAAGAACGCACAAAACTTATTGTTTCCAACCGGCATCGTTTCACGTTTAAATGTATACTGAACTACAATAAATTTTGAATAAAAGTTTAAGGAACAATTTTTTAAATCTGCAAACCTTCATCATATATGCACATCGTTTTCTCAAAAAATGCAGCAAATCGCCATCAGAACAATATTCAACCACTAAGCAATACGGCTCTGTCTCTGTGATGCATGCCAGCATATTCACTAATCTTTCGTGATATCCCAACGTTTTCATCAAAGAAATTTCACGCAGAAATTCACTTTTGGATAGCTGATCAGCATATTCTGAAAATGAGTTCTCATTTAAACTTATGATTGATTGAAGTGAACTAAAACTTTTTTACAGCATTACTCTGGAATGTTTACTAAAAGTTCAGGAAAGTATGTAGTTTTACGACTACTCACAAGACTAATCAACATTCAAGTTGAGTCAGGATTCAAAAAATTCACACTTTGAACTAAAAATTTTTCAAAAATTTTTTCTCAAAAGAAAAATTTTCTAATTCCCCATTGCTTTTATAATTCAAATCGATAATAAATATTCTCTCAAAATATCCGCAAATCTTTCAAAAAATTCATAAATATGAAATTTCGATTGGTACTAAAGTTGCATTAATTATCTGGATTATCAGAAATGAATAAATCAATTGATTACAGCTTATTTGACTGCATTTCTAAATTTCAATTATGTTGTTATCAATGTAATATTTTCACAGCTTCTGAAAGCGTTTGATTTGCTCAGTACTTTTCAGTGCTTACTACTATAGTGTAAGTATTGCTACATTTCACTATTCAGGTGTAATCCGAAATTAAAAGAAAATTTTTTTGCATCTGAAATACTTTTGAAATTTATACTGAAATATTTCCTTGAAAACTAAAATGCTGACAAAAGCATCTGGTAATGAATGAAATATCATTCATAAGAAGTAGTCTTTGAATTCATCTGATGACAATAGACATCATTTTATTGTTCGATTTTTGAAAATAAAAATCTGACAGTAAAATTTTTAGCATAATTGGTAAGGAGTAGTTTTGTACAACTTTACGAACCACTAGAACGCGGGCTAGGCTTCAAATTTCGCGAAAAAATATGGATAAATATTTACAAATACCTGGTAACTTTTTTACCGCTACGTCACAGTTTCCTGCTCTCATCAGATTCACACCTAAAGTTGACTGCGCATTTTTGTTACCTTTTGCAAGACCAATCAATCGTCCTTTATAAACTGATCCAAATGCACCAGATCCAAGCTTTTGATCATCATTGATGATCAGATTTAAACGCTCTAACTCCCAAATATCTTTTCTAAACAATTATTGATTTGTTAGCTATAATTTTATCACAGAAAAATAAAATAGTTCTCACATTGCAGTAAATTAATAAAGATGAACATCTTCAAACTAATGAAACAGAAGAGAGCACTAGAAAAGTAACACTAAGCATCTGATCGAATCTACTAAATAGCACATTTGAAGTACTGCTAGAAAATTAAAATGCGTTGATTTTGCGTAGAAACAAAAATTTATTACAAAAAATATATTCTCAGAATATTGATACTAGTTACTACTATAATTATTGTATTAACGTTTCTGTCCATAATTTTGGTTAAAGTCTTTAACAACAATGAACAGTAAAGTGATTCCGCTTTCAAGACTAGCAATTTTTTGAAAAATGCCTCAATCTATGCCATAATTTTATGTGATACTTCAATATTATTAGTAATGAACATCACTCAATTATAACCTTCAAACAAAAAATTCTTCACTTCTGAAGATGATATTGTGATACTTAATTTGCATACAAAAAATTAGTACAACTAATCTAAAATACACCAATTTCTGCACTTGAATATGTGAATAATTTATTTTTGTAAAATTGAAGCAAACTTTTTTGGTAAATTTGTATATCTCAGATCGTTGCAATGTTTCATTTGTTCCAATTTCAACTGACGCAATTTAATTTTGGCGTTTTGTCTCCGTTGAATGCATATAAATGTGCAAAGAAGCGAAAATAATGTTGCTATACTTCCAGCAATAATATATGTCATCAAACTTGGATGATATTTTTGGAACGCTAAACATGCAAAAAATAAAAATACAAAACTAAGTTATTATAGCAATAGTCTCTTTGACTATTACGCGGTCAACAATTAAAATTAAAATTATCTATTTAAATGATTATTAATAAGTGCTAGTCCAAATTATGACGTAGGTGATATGATAAGTAAACAATTAATTTCCAACATATAAAATATAATTTTTATGCTTTTTCTGTGTTTTTCAAAACAAACCTTTGGAACTGATATATATTTTGTTTGCTTTTGGCTTCATCCCAAGCACAGCACCTTTGATTTTTGGGAATGTTAAGTTTTTAAGATCAATTACAGCGCAAATTGTCACTCCATATAGCTTATTCATTTGCAGATTAGTTATCAGAATTGAAACATTGGAAAGATTCATTTTCATCTAAACAAAGTTCAGTTGCATTTTTATCACAATTAACACACAGACAAAGAGTAAAATAAATAAACTTAGTTATCATTCATTATCATCATTTATTTCTAACCCTTATCAGTGTTTAATATCACGCATTGTTTCTGCCTGTTATTATTTTTTAACTACTATTATTCTTAATCGCTTTCTACACGTGCGTACTTTTATCATTATTAACTTATTCATTTTAACTTATTTGCTTATCACCATAATTAAAACAAAATAATAATAGTCAAGTATTAAGATTTGGATTTATGAATAAGAATCACATCTAAGACGTACCTTACATTTTTCACTAAATATGAATTCGGGACAGTTTGTTGCATTACCTAAAATATTATACATATCGACTCCAAGCAATTCTACCTGTAATTTTTTTCATACATAGTTTTACGGATTGAAACGTTGAGATATTTTAGTTTTAAACAAATATATATGAAAGTAATAAACTCTGAAAAAGTCTCTCTTAAATTAGGCTTGCAAATCTAAACTTCACTATTATTTGCTACGAGGAAAAGAAGATGCTTGAATAAAACTATTAAAATGTAATTCTTTACTTTGGTATGAAAGTGTTAATATCTTTATAAATGCTCTGGAATTACTATTCTTTACTTGATGCTTTTGAGAATTTTGCTAAAATGATAATTTCTCATGAAAATAAAAGATTTAAGGATGTATTTTTATTTTACTAATTAGAAGTTTATTCTAATAAAAGCAAATAAAATTAAAAAGCTTACATCAATTTCTTTATCAAATGGTTTAGCATCTCCATAAAATGCTACAAAATACAATGGTTGTTTGTTAAAAAGAGTGGACCGAAATGTAACATTCACAGTTATATTTCTGTTAACATCATTTGGGTCAATATGATCATTGATAATCTGATAATTGAATCCTTCCACTTGACCACACATTGGTGGAGAACGCAGTTTGGTATGGTAAGCACAAGGACTATTTTCAACCGTTGAGCAGTCTTAAATAATAATTCTATGCGCAATGATTTTATCCAAATATAATTTAAATAATGCAACTATATTCAATAATATTTTTTAGATAAATACATCTTTTAATTCCAACTTTTTTCAATATAAAATCACATATAGGTTTTGTAAAAAGTTAAATGCAATTTTAGAATTATTTTTAGTTTTTGAAAACGAAAAAAAAAACCTCGCAGTTATTCCAATGAAAAAAAACTTTACTTCTGTAATAAATTATTTCTGTTGTGTAATATTTTATGATAAATTGTTACAAACATTCTTAGAATTTCGGTAGCTTATTTTACCACAAATTATGATTTTCTTTTTCAAAAATGACAATAATTTTATCTCATATTAAAATTATATACTAAAATTTAAACCTATTCTTAATGGTTTCATTGAATTTTCATCAAAATCACTGTTGGTTTCTGTCGTACCGCAATGTGCACTGTGCACACTGCTCACATAATATAAGAATTGACATTTACGATACATTAAGTCGGCACCGAACTTAGCCACTAAAGTTTGTGACTCCATACCTGGTAACTAAAGCAAAAATGCATTTTTATCAAATTTTTGGTAACTCTAATTGTTAAGGTAAATATTTGACTACTTTTAAGATGATTCATATTATTTTATTTCAAAAAATTTAGAAGTTGTCATCAAAAATAAGAAAAAATCAAACTTCTATTTTGATTTTTCTTAAGAAAAAATTTAAATTTCAAGAAATCTCAATTTTATTAGTAAGGACAAAAAACAAACGAATTCAGGTGCTGGTACAGCTTTGGATAGATCAGGAACATCACAGCTGACCATATGAAAGAGTAAATCTACTTTCACGTCCCTTTCTCCTAATGGCCAATCTGAAAGTCTACAAACTTTCAAAATTGTTTGAAATTAAATCAAAGCGTTATTTGTTGATTAAATCTTTCGCACAATCAAAATTCCTGCACAAAAATATGAACAAAACTTGTATTTTATAAAATTTATATGCATTTTCTGCTATAACTTAGTACAGTCACAAAAAACCTTTCTAAAATTGCTAAGAAAGTGAAATTGTTAGCAATAGTAAAAAAAACTTACTATATTTTGGTATTGCATATCTAAGTGTTAGTTGAATGGTTCCATTGGAGTAATAACCGTTGTCACTAAATGGTTGATTCTGAAAACGTGAAAATCAATCAGTACTGATTTGATTTATTGACAATTAAAAATTATTTGCTTTGAAAGTTAGCTAAATAAATTTGAAATGCTGAATTTCAAGTATTGTTTATTGTTTTTGATTATAACCTTATCATCCTTTATTAAGATTTTGAATACTTAAACAATTTTCATAGCTTCTAAATTCAAGAAAAATTAATTCGTTGTTTTTTTTCGTCAAACTGTTGCAGTGGGAAAACGAATCAGATTCACTTTTTGATTATTTTAAGTGCACAATTTTCAGAAATATAGATGTTTTTACTTGAAAAATTGATAATTGCCTTAACAAATTTTTTGATTTTGAGTCAATGAAGCATATAATTCGTAAGTAGTTTTTTAATTGACGAATAGCTTTCTTAATGCTTACGATGAATTCCATTGACTGTACAGTTAAATTCTGAACAATTTCAGGAGCAGATGCAGCAATTTCCTGAATTTCACTAAAATTACTGACACCTCCACTTGTTACTGTAGCCAAACGAAAAAATAACGTATCGCAAAAGTTCATTTCTGACTTTGTGTAATTAACCAGTGATGTATTGACCAGAAGCTATAAAATAGACTGTTTTAATTAATTTAATTAGATATTGTTCTACTGTCTACTGATCTCAAAAGTAAAAACGTTAGTGCAGTAGTCTCATATCGCTGTACAGTATTTTTATCGTATAAATGGAATGTAATATTTCTTAATGGAAAAAATGTGTTTCTCACTGCTGTTTACGTAGTTTGGTAACAAACATATTTTTAAAAAAGCAATAATTAAATTCCCTGAAGTCAACAAAGTTGATATCTACACTAGATCTGAAATGTTTCATTATTTTCAACGCAAATTATTATATCAAGATTCCGCAGAGTATTAAAATTCTGTTCTCAAATATGGTTAAGAATTAATATGATCATACTTACATGTATTAATGAAAATACCAAGAAAATATTTATATACATTACAGTCATGAAATCTAAAAATCAAGGTTAAGGGGTCAAAAATTCTGCAAGGTTTAAAATTGTGATATCATCAATAATTTTTCTAAGAACAGAATTTTAGAATCTAAAACTTACAATATCTTCTACATATTCTTCAACAGTTTCAGATTCTTTTGATACTTCTAACAAATAAATTACACCATTGCCATCCCAAGTAATATTTATAGCATATGAAGGTGTATAAGTCCATCGAATATGATTAGGTATCTCTGGTTTCGGTCCTTCATTTAAAATACCACCGCAAGTCCTCCAGCAAAATTCCTTATCTTTAATTTTATTATCCTGTAAATTAATTTATTAACTTACTTTAAATAGTATTAAAATTATGAATTACATATTCAGCTTTTTTGTGATTAAAACATATTTTCTTGGATAAAAATCTAAATCTCAAATTCTAACACCATAAGATGACATTCTGTAGAAAATTAGCATGAAAGAACATCTAGAAGTGAGAAAATTTTCAAATTTGGCGGAATTGTCTTGAAATATCTCACGTTTCTGAAACTGTAAATTTCTTCTGGAAATAATTTTTTATTCTAATTTAATTTAAAATTAACTCACACAGAGATCGTCCTCTATACTTTTCTCGCACTGTTCTTCACAATAACGTGCAGACTGCTAAAAACAATTTATGAACAAATTCTTAGCATCAGTTTTTGCTTCAAAAATTTATTTTTATTGCAATAATTGCATAATTATCAAATTTTTAGCTATTCTAATCTTTTAATTAAACAGTTTATAAAGAAATTACAGTATTAATGACATAAGTTATTAATTGCCGAATAATGTCTAACTCTCACTTTCTACCATTTTTTTACATATTTTTTTTGTTTCATATAATAAAAATATTACAACAAAAAATAGTAATTTTATTTCTATTCTTTTATACAAGCAAAATAACCGAAAGAAAACGCTTTAGCGAGGATAAAGGTATTTGATTGCCACAAAAAAGTTAACTACATTTATCGGTAAAAATATCATTAAATGAAATCTTCACGTCTCTCACGGTAAATGCACAATATTTTTTGCTATTTAACAATTATACTAACCATAATTTCGAATACTTTATATATTACTGGCTCTAATAATTTTGTAGTAGATGAAATAGATTACAAATTATGGCATGCAAGCTGAATTACGCACCAAAAAAACATCTACTTAAAAAACAATGATGATAGCAAACGTAATAATGATAATAATAATAAAATAATATTAATAATACTTTTTCATCGTTGACGCATTTAGCAGTACATCTCAGCTGACAAATACGAACACGTGATAATTCGGAGTCAGTAATAATTTCAGAATTTGTAAAAATCGTAAAAGCAGTAGTGAATAATAGCCATTTGCATAACTGATACATTAGCAGCAATTATTAAGAATGTTGCAAGAATTTTCCATTCAGTACTGAATCTGATTTTCTGGGACACACTTTTGCATACAAAACAGCTAAGTATTCACTGTAACTTGAGCTATTATTTAAAATCTTCTTTCTGTAAAACTTTAGAACAACTACATCCATGCATAACAGTATAAATGTATTCACAAAAATAGAGTACCATAAATCTATAAAAATGTATTATCTAAATTTTTGTAATTAATTAAACTATTTAAAACAGTAATGGTTATTAGAGGATAGATGTATGCAAGGATTACTGCGAATAAATTTAGCGAAGTTAGAAACTAATTCACACCAAACTGCTTGTTCTCGTTTGTTTGTAAGGAAAAAGTATTCAAAGTAATATTTGTGCTTAAATTGCAAATAATTGAATAAAATAAAATAAAAAAGACTACAAAATAATAGTAAAATGTGTAGAATAATTGAATAAATGAATGAGGCAAAAGCGAAGAAATGAAAATTGAGAAAATATTTGCACAGAAATAAGATCAGAAAGGGTAAAATGAAGTTGAGTTGAAAGAGGCAATTGAAAGAAAAGGTAAAATTTGGATTAGTTGCTATCTTCAGAGGTAAATTACCTTTAAAATAAGAAAGATGTTGTGCTTGCAGAGAAGACAAGGAAAGAAAAGCAATTGTACGAAGTAAAACGTCGTCTATCTACGTGGACAGATAAATAGAGAAATGTATGATTGGTTACGTGGGTAGTATTTGCATTAAAGTTACGAAAAGTATTACTGAGAATAATTGTCATATTTGAAGACGTAGACGTTAGTAATAGTTTGCATGTAACAAAATATTCATTGCGCAGAGAAATGAATGAGGGCAGAGCAGAGATAATTTACAAACCAGTTTTACCATGTTGTACTTGAGAGAATTACCGGAATGTATATACATACAAACACACTTACTAAATTGTTATTATCTCGTTTTCATTTTTTATTTTTTTATTTTTTAAATTGTGTATGAGTAAGAATTTTGTGGTAGTAAAAACTAAACTTAGTATGAGTAATTGAAATTCAATTAATTGTATTGCAAATTAGATAAGTAAGTCATTTAGAATTAATTGGTAAATGGTTTTTTTGTTTTCGTCGACGCAATTTTTTTAGCTTTAAGGTTTTAATTTTGAGATTGTTTTAAATTAAATGCTTCGATATAATTTATGTTTAATAAGGAATTTGCGCTGTTAAGTATAATTCACTTTTGTCAAATAAAAGTATTGTTAATTGCGTTTATTTGAGGAAAACGAGATAAAAAATTTGGCTTTTGTACATAAGTTTTTTAGAAAGTTTTGAGGTACTACAAAATTCACGTTTTGATTTATTTCAATAATAATTTTGTAAAGAATTTAGTGCTATTGGTCGTAAATCACTTTTATTAAAAATTGGGGTTATTTATTTTTAAAATTACTGATACACACTAAAAAATATTTCTGACTTTTGTGTCTAAAATTTTTTGCGCTCACTGATTTCAAAGTTTTGATTTATCCCAGTTGATAACCAAATCATTACTATTATAAAAAATTAATTAGTAAGTCATTATTACTACAAAGACGAAAATTATTAATAGGAACTAGATATCATCATTGTTTTTTGAATTATTAAACTTAATTCGTTTGACCCGTAGACACAATAGTTCCAGCTTATGAGTATAAAATTGAAAAAAAGACATATTTGATAAAAATTTATAGTTTTTCGCTCAATCAAGCTAACTTAATTATGTAATTTTTCTTAAATTCAAATAAAAAGAAAAAAGATTTTGTTAGGTTCAAAAAATCAAAGCATCACTTCTATTACATAATAATTTTTATGCATTAATTAGAGAAAAGTAATCGGAATATAACTTCCTTAATGCATGTATTGAATTTTTGAAATAAAATTCGTAAATCCATGACTTTCTAAGTTACTAATTTGGAATTTTCAACATTTCAAGCAATATGCAAATTATTTTCTGCATCACTTTTTAAGGGCTCACAAAAAAGACTGTACAAGAAATGGTGCAATTTTATTTACATTTACTGTGAAAAGAAATTATAATGGCTTCATGCAATTCCAGCTTTAGAAATAAATATTTAGATCTTGCTGAATATGTTAGAGATATAACTTATAACTGTTTAATCTTTTGAATATTCTAAGAAATTTTGACTTGCTATTGTCACATTTTTATTATAGGATAACACAGTATCATCCGAAAATAACGCAGTAATTGCTGAAAAAGTAAGCTAGAATTCTATAACAATGTAAAACCATGTTGGAATGCAAGAATCACACGATCGCGTATCAGTTTCTTCCACGGCACCTTACGGGATTGCTGTTCAGTGGCTGCTGAGCGTCTCATTAATATTTTGCCTTCTTATGACAGTGACACTAATTTTATTGAATTTAACGAGTATAAATTCAATTACATCAACAATTCGATTTCTAAAAATAAGTTTTTACTATTAATCAAAATCACTCCTAACTTATTACATAAATATCGACAGCAGAGTCTGTCGTACTCTAAATGTGGTTGGTGGTTCAGCCAAATTTATTTCCTTATTTGATTACACTGGACAGTATTTGTATTACAGACACTTTACCGTTTTCCGTCAGAGGAAGCTTATAATTGTTGCGAGTGAATTTTATCGTATTTTAGAGTGAATAAATGAGAACCAAATCAGTAGATCATTCTTGTGAGTATAACTTTGAATCATTTAAGTCAGAATGTAAAGATTTTGCTTGTTATCAATTTATTTATTTTCAGATGAATTAATTACCTTATTTACAGTTTCATTTCTTTATGAATGACTTATTCATTTGTTTTTTATATCGAATTCCCAAAACAGTTTCATTCAATGACATTGAAATGTTATTTAGTAAATTGCCTATATTTCAACTTTTGTTAAAATTAAGCAAAAAGACAAAGTAGAGAAGATAAAAATTTGATATAAGTAAAGAAGAATATTAAGTTGTAGCAGAAAATTTAAAAAAAAAGGAAATCTAATATACAAAACCAAAAACAACTCAAAAATTTACACCTAATCAGATGTTGTAGAATACATAAAAATATTTACTAGCGCCAATTTGAAATTTTCACAAAAATAATTCCAGTTCAATTTTATTTAATAAAATTTTACTTTCTCACAACAAAACTCTTCAATACGATGTTTTTTTTTACTTCATATTAACAAGTGTATTTAGTTAGATTCATTTTATTTACTGGAACTTCCGTATTTAAAAAAATTCAAACGTGTATAAAATTAAGTAAATGTTTGCATTTCAATCATTCAGTTATCGTGTTACAGTTTAGGTTAAATAAAGATAGACTTGAAAAGTTATAATGTATTATGTGCCTTTAGAAGGCTATACACAATATGACCAACAAGAACTATAAATTATTTGAATATTAATAGCATAAAACAATTTTGTGCCGTAAAAAACTGGAGTGTAATAAAAAATTCAGTTTAATTTAATTCTTCAATTTTGTTGCAAAACAATTTTTGAATTTTCTATCTCTGCTTATTTATACCTTTAAAAAGCATTTCTATAACTTTATCAAGCGTATTTTAAGCTGCGAAAGTGAGGTTACCACTGAAAACTTGACTTTTTTTAATTTTCAACCTTGAAAAAATGTTTAAAACACAAATTTTGAAGCTGAATCGATACAAA